TTTTTAAGAGTTCACGTGATTTTTAGAATCTTTGGATTTTAGGATTTTTTCTAGAACCTTTAGAATCTTTGAAACATTTGAAACGAAATTTTAAAATTTGTTTAACTTTTGGGTCATTAGAATCTACAGAAACTTCAGAGCCTTTAAAATCTTTAGAATCTTAGAATGTTTAGAATATTTAGAGTTTTTAGTCTTTAGACTCTCTAGAATCTTCAGAGTCTTTGCAATTTTTCTAATTTTTGGACATTTTGACCACTTTAGGATTAATGGAAATTTTATAAATTATAGAATTTTTAGAATTTCTAGGATCATTATTACAATCAAGATCCTTACAATTTTTAAAATCTGTGGCATTTTAATAGTTTATATAAGTTTAAAAATTTTTGGATTTTTGGAATTTCTCTAGAACTTTTGAGTTTTCAAGAGTCTTTAGAATATTTAAAGTTTTTAAACAATTCAGTATTCAGAGCTTTTAAAATCTTTAGCATCTTAGATTATTTAGAGTTTTTGATTTTTAAATTCTTTAGACTTTTTAGAATCTTTACGATTTTTAGATTTTTAGGATTTACTTTATAGTTTTTGGAGTCTTTGAAATACTTGGCATCTTAAGAGTTCACGTTTTGTTTTAAATTTTTGGAATTTTTCTAGAACCTTTAGAATGTTTGAAACATTTGAAACAGAATTTAATTTTTTTTTAACTTTCGAATCCTGATTTGAATCTTTAGAATTTTCAATTTTTAGACTCTTCATTTTTACCATTTTTTATTTCTATGATGATCCGTATTTCCAGGTTCTTGAAAATTTTTGAGATTTTGTTGGATCTTTCTTATATTTTGAACATTAGCATTTGAGTTTATTTGGAACCTTTAGTATCTTTTCAATTCGAAGTTTTCAGTGTATGGAATCTTAAAGGTTTTTAGAAAATGTCGAATCTTTGAAAGCTGTTGAACCTTTGAATTTTTCAAACTATTCGAAACTTTGAAATCTTTAGAATCTCTAGGATCTTAAGAATCACTGGAATTTCTATAATCTTTAGACACACATTTTTGAAATTTCTGAAATCCTTGTGGTTCTGGAAGTTCCAATTTTTAAACATCTGGAACCTGTGGAATCCCAGGAATTTTTTAAATTTCTGAATTATATGTATTTAAAATTTTTTAATTGCCGGCTTCTCTAGCAATTTTGAAATTTCTGAAATCCTTGTGGTCCTGGAAGTTCCGATTTTTACATATCCGGAATATATGGAATCCTCGAAATTTTTGAAATCCCTGAAACACTTTTAGAATTTTTAAATTGCCGGTTTCTCTAGCATTTTTGAAATTTCTGAAATCGTTGTGGTCCTGGAAGTTCCAATTTTTAAATATCTGGAACCTGTGGAATCTCAGGAATTTTTGAAATCTCTGAATTATATTTAAATTTTTTAAATTGCCGGTTTCTCCAGCATTTTTGAATTTTCTGAAATCCTTGTGGTCCTGGAAGTTCCAATTTTTAAACATCTGGAACCTGTGGAATTCCAGGAATTTTTGAAATCTCTGAATTATGTTTAAATTTTTTAAATTGCCGAATTCTCTAGCATTTTTGAAATTTCTGAAACCCTTGTGGTCCTGAAAGTTCCGATTTTTAAATATCTGGAATATATGGAATCCCCGGAATTTTTGAAATCCCTGAAACACTTTTACAATTTTTAAATTGCCGGTTTCTCTAGCATTTTTGAAATTTCTGAAATCCTTGTGGTCCTGGAAGTTTCTCTAGCATTTTTGAAATTTCTGAAATCCTTGTGGTCCTGGAAGTTCCAATTTTTAAACATCTGGAACCTGTAGAATCCCAGGAATTTTTGAAATTTCTGAATTATATGTATTTAAAATTTTTTAATTGCCGGCTTCTCTAGCAATTTTGAAATTTCTGAAATCCTTGTGGTCCTGGAAGTTCCAATTTTTAAACATCTGGAACTTGTGGAATCCCAGCAATTTTTGAAATCTCTGAATTATGTTTAAAATTTTTAAAATGCCGGCTTCTCTAGCATTTTTGAACTTTCTCAAATCCTTGTGGTCCTGGAAGTTCCGATTTTTAAATATCTGGAATATATGGAATCCCCGAAATTTTTGAAATCGCTGAAATACTTTTAGAATTTTTAAATTGCCGGTTTCTCTAGCAATTTTGAAATTTCTGAAATTCATGTGGTCCTGGAAGTTCCGATTTTTAAATATCTGGAATATATGGAATCCCAGGAATTTTTGAAATCCCTGAAATAATTTTAGAATTTTTCAATTGCCGGCTTCTCTAACATTTTTGAAATTTCTGAAATCCTTGTGGTCCTGGAAGTCCCAATTTTTAAACATCTGGAACCTGTGAAATCCCAGGAATTTTTGAAATTTCTGAATTATATTTAAAATTTTTAAATTGCCCGCCCCTCTAGCATTTTTGAAATTTCTGAAATCGTTGTGGTCCTGGAAGTTCCGATTTTTAAATATCTGGAATATATGGAATCCCCGGAATTTTTGTAATCTCTGAAATACTTTTAGAATTTTTAAATTGCCGGTTTCTCTAGCATTTTTGAAATTTCTTAAATCCTTGTGGTCCTGGAAGTTCCAATTTTAAAACATCTGGAACCTGTGGAATCCCCGGAATTTTTGAAATCTGTGAATTATGTTTAAAATTTTTAAATTGCCGGTTTCTCTAGCATTTTTGAAATTTCTGAAATCCTTGTGGTCCTGGAAGTTCCGATTTTTAAATATCTGGAATATATGGAATCCCCGGAATTTTTGAAAACCCTGAAATACTTTAAGAATTTTTAAATTGCCGGTTTTTATAGCATTTTTGAAATTTCTGAAATCCCTGTGGTCCTGGAAGTTCCAATTTTAAAACATCTGGAACCTGTGGAATCCCAGAAATTTTTGAAATCTCTGAATTATGTTTAAAATTTTAAAATTGCCGGCTTCTCTAGCATTTTTGAAATTTCTGAAATCCTTGTGGTCCTGGAAGTTCCGATTTTTAAAAATCTGGAATATATGGAATAATCGGAATTTTTAAAATCTCTGAAATACTTTTAGAATTTTTAAATTGCCGGTTTCTCTACCATTTTTGAAATTTCTGAAATCCTTGTGGTCCTGGAAGTTCCAATTTTTAAACATCTGGAACCTGTGGAATCCCAGAAATTTTTGAAATCTCTGAATTATATTTAAATTTTTTAAATTGCCGGCTTCTCTAGCATTTTTGAAATTTCTGAAATCGTTGTGGTCCTGGAAGTTCCAATTTTTAAATATCTGGAACCTGTGGAATCCCAGGAATTTTTGAAATCTCTGAATTATATTTAAATTTTTTAAATTGCCGGTTTCTCCAGCATTTTTGAATTTTCTGAAATCCTTGTGGTCCTGGAAGTTCCAATTTTTAAACATCTGGAACCTGTGGAATTCCAGGAATTTTTGAAATCTCTGAATTATGTTTAAATTTTTTAAATTGCCGAATTCTCTAGCATTTTTGAAATTTCTGAAACCCTTGTGGTCCTGAAAGTTCCGATTTTTAAATATCTGGAATATATGGAATCCCCGGAATTTTTGAAATCCCTGAAACACTTTTACAATTTTTAAATTGCCGGTTTCTCTAGCATTTTTGAAATTTCTGAAATCCTTGTGGTCCTGGAAGTTCCGATTTTTAAATATCTGAAATATATGGAATCCCCGAAATTTCTGAAATACCTGAAATACTTTTAGAATTTTTAATTTGCCGGTTTCTCTAGCATTTTTGAAATTTCCGAAATCCTTGTGGTCCTGGAAGTTCCAATTTTTAAACATTTGGAACCTGTGGAATCCCAGGAATTTTTGAAATCTCTGAATTATGTTTAAAATTTTTAAATTGCCGGCTTCTCTAGCATTTTTGAAATTTCTGACATCCTTGTGGTCCTGGAAGTTCCAATTTTTAAACATCTGGAACCTGTGGAATCCCAGGAATTTTTGAAATCTCTGAATTATGTTTAAAATTTTTAAATTGCCGGCTTCTCTAGCATTTTTGAAATTTCTAAAATCCTTGTGGTCCTGGAAGTTCCGATTTTTAAATATCTGGGATATATGGAATCCCCGAAATTTTTGAAATCCCTGAAATACTTTTAGAATTTTTAATTGCCGGTTTCTCTAACATTTTTGAAATTTCTGAAATCCTTGTGGTCCTAGAAGTTCCAATTTTTAAATATCTGGAACCTGTGGAATCCCAGGAATTTTTGAAATCTCTGAATTATGTTTAAAATTTTTAAATTGCCGGCTTCTCTAGCATTTTTGAAATTTCTGAAATCCTTGTAGTCCTGGAAGTTCCGATTTTTAAATATGTGGAATATATGGAATCCCCGAAATTTTTGAAATCCCGGAAATACTTTTAGAATTTTTAAATTGCCGGTTTCTCTGAAGTCAAATCGTAAAATGTTGTACAAAAATCTGGATTCCTAGGTAAAAATTCAACACGGTTTCATAAATTACAAGTGGAGAAGTATTTTATTTGATAAAATTTAAATAACATTTACTATTGTAAAAGTTTATGTATTTTGTTCAACAAACATGAAGTTGAAGTCCCCTGGAGTCTTTGGGATGAAAATTCCGCATTTAATTCTACTACAAAAATATATAGTGGGATAAATTACTTAAAATATCATCAATTCATAATATTTCTAAAAACCAAAAAAGCACAAGAAGATATATGATATAAGTTTTCTTCCAAAATAGCCATTTGGTGAAGAAGAGACTACACAGGTCATGCTTTCAGGAGGAGTTTCGCTACACTTAAAAATAAATCATCTTCTTTTTCGACAGCACTGAAACATTGCAGAATTTTGTGAGAAAAATTTTCACAGTAGCAAATTTCGCAAACCACAATCAATCATAGCTCGGGATTAAAACCATTAGCCCTTTATCATCAAATCGCCATTAAAGACTTATCACTTACTAGAAATTGGCAGCCGTGATTTACTATCACATTTCCTCCAAACCTCCGATAAGATTATTTACCTATGACACCTATCTCAGCGCACTCTCCCTCAACTTTCCGTCACGAACTGCCACACTATCACTAAAACCCCATTCCGAGTCCATCACTCTCACCCTGAATCATTGAAATTCAATCCTTAATCCACTTAAGCTGCATTGCACTCGTCCTAGCTCGCCATCTCTCTGAAAATGGAAGGCAAGATGTGCTGATAGCAAATAATACATCACCTCCTTAACCTAAACAAGATAACAAATCACGTTACTCGTCGTTGTCTCTTATTTAGGGAGATACTCCGCTTCTAATTTACAATTAATTCGACTGCCGCCGCTAATTGATGATAGCAAATGTGTGCAAATTATTACATTATTATTCAAATCCTGCGTTTGTTCAGCGTTTAACACTTTGTCCGTTTATAATGGGATTACATATAACTAAATAAATCAGTTAAGTGGTAAGTGCTCCTTAACAATGGACTCACCAGCGGAAGCCAACGACAGAAAATCGCTGATAACGTCTGGACACCCCTACGGGACGCCCGAGTTGACGCCGGGGATTTACTACTACCCCAAAACACCCACCTCGCCAACACCCAGCAGGTACAATTTTCAGCAGTTGAATCACGTTTAAATTGTTATCAAAGTTTCGGTTTGTTATTGTCGGGCTGGAATTTTTTAGAATGACGTTTGCCCGTTTTGTGTTTTAATAAAATGTGCTAAATTAGTGCTAAACCGGTTTTTAAATAAGAAAAGTAAAATCGGACTTGTTTAGAAGTCGCTAAAATTTTTTCAAAGTGTTTCTTTGTGACTTAAGTATGATTACTAAGTATTTGCGTTTTGTAAATTTGCTCGTTTTATCTGAGTCTAGCGGACATTAGATTACTTTTCCGTTTTTGGTCTACTAAAATTTGCACGAAAATGACTCATTTTTACATAACGATTGAAAAAAAAAATGTAAACCAACGATATTTACGACCTTTGCTTAACGATTGCATTATAGGCAAGCATCTTTGACAAACACACCTTGAACAAAAAATTATCACAGGAGATAAATTATGGTAGAAAGTGTCGTTGAGGTCTCAGTTTTGTCTTTTTTTTAATGATTTATAATTTTGCGACGTACGGATCTGAAACTTTGTACTGTTTTATCTGCTTAATGTACCATTTCGGGCAAAGAGCTGTGTTGTTTGGTGATCTTGAAAAAATAAATTTTCCATTTTGTTGAACTGATAGTCTACAAATCTTTCAGAGGACGATTTATTGAGTGTGTAAAGTGCACTAGATAAAGACAATTCTAGGACGAAGTCTCGTGTGCCCTTGTAGTAGCATGAATTAACTGTGAATGGAGTTTGAGGCTGCAACAGCTTTTGTGGAGTCGGTGTTATTATTTAAACATTTATAAATCAGCCGCGTTTTTACTACATTTGTCATAGCGTTACGTTTTTATTGTTAAATATATTTTCACAAGGTGTTTTTAGAAGGTTGTTTATAAAAAAATATATTTTTACAAAATTTTACAAAAATCAAGTTAAATTAAAAATAAAAGTTTGAAACGATTTATCAGTTTTTAAGACGGGTTAATGACACTTATTTTATCTCGCTTTACCATCTTCATGATAATATATATTGTAAGAGTTATAAAATTCCAAGATAATAATTTCTGTGCTTTGAAGACACACGGAAAAAGGAAGTCTGCATTTTCGTATTTTACGAAATCCTGTGAAACACCAAGAACTCCTAGAAACAGATATTGCTTGAACACTGAGAACTAAACTAATTCGGTTTTGGAAAAATAATATTCTATGAAAAATTATTTCCATCATTTTTTTACTGTTTATTAACCTTGTCTATTTTCCTGTAAAATTATTATGAAGATAATAAAATTCAAAATTTGTGTTCCAAAAAATTGGTCTTGGTTGATTTTTTAGAAAAGCACTGAGTTCCCCTAAGAATTAGTTTTGTAGAAATTAAGCAATAAAACAAAATTGAAAATTTTGGACATAATTAATTTAATATTTAACTTAATTTTCACCAAAATGCTGAATTCCTCTAAGAATTAACTTTGTACATATTTTGCAAATGCTGAAAGCTCATATTAAAGCAATAAAACAAAACTGGAAATATTCAGGTACAATTACTATTAATTACTAAATTTTGAACTAAATAAGAATTAAAATTTACTTTAATTTTCACCGAAATGCTGAATTTCCTTAAGTACTAATTTTGTGCGTATTTCGAAGATGCGGGACGTTCAAATTAAGCGATAAATTAAAAGTGGAAAATTTGATGTAGGAATAATATTAGTTAATTACCAAATTTTGAATTAAAGAAAAGTTAAAATTTGCTTTAATTTTTGCCAAAATGCTCTGAATTCCCCTAAGAATTAACTTTCTACATATTTCAAAAACGGTGAAAACCCAAATTAAAGGAATAAAACAAAAATTGGAAAATTTTGTATAATTAATTTTTAAATTTTAAATTAAAGAAGAGTCAAAATTTACTTTAATTTTCACCGAAATGGGGAATCTTCTTAAAAAATCATTTTATGCAACTTTCGAAGATGTGGGAAATTCAAATCAAACAATAAATTAAAAGTGGAAAACTTGAGGTACAATTACAATTAATTAATAAATTTTGAGCTAAAGATGAATCAAAATTTGGTGTATTTTTTACCAAAATGCTGAATTTCTCTAAGATACAACTTTATACATATTCCGAAGATACGAGAATTCAAATTAAAGTAATATACCAAAAATTGGAAAATTTGTGCATAATTAATTTTTAAATTTAGAAACAAATCGTCGAAATTTACCTTAATTTTGACCGAAATTCTGAATTTCTCTAAAAACTAACAGAATACTGAGAGAGTTAATTGAGTTATAAATCAAAAGGGCCAAATTTTGTTCATAATTAATAATTAATTACTAAATTTTAAACTAAAGAAGAGTCAAAATTTGCTTTAATTTTCACCTATATGTTGAAACGGCGAATTTTCCTAAGAACTAATTTTGTGCATACTTCGAAGATGCTGACAATTCAAATTAACCATTAAATTAAAAGTGGAAAACTTGATGTACAATTATAATTAATTACTAAATTTTACACTAAAGAAAGGTCAAAATTTGCTTTAATTTTCACCAAAATGCGGAATTTCTTTAAAATCTAACTTTATACATATTTCTAACATGTTGAAAGTTTAAATTAAAGTAATACATAAACCAAAAATTGGAAACTTTGTATATAATTAATTTTTTAATTTAGAACTAACGAATCGTCGAAATTTACCTTAATTTTGACCGAAATGCTGAATTTCTCTAAAAACTAACAAAATACTGAGAGAGTTAATTAAGTAATAAATCAAAAGCGCCAAATTTTGTTCATAATTAATAATTAATTACTAAATTTTAAACTAAAGAAGAGTCAAAATTTACTTTAATTTTCACCTATATGTTGAAACAGCGAATTTTCTTAAGAGCGAATTTTGTGCATATTTCGAAGATGCTGACAATTCAAATTAATCATTAAATTAAAAGTGGAAAACTTGATGTACAATTATAATTAAAATACTTATTTTTGAACTAAAGAAGCGTCAAAATTTACTTCAATTTCCACCGAAATCCGAAATTTCTCTAATATCTAACTTTGTACATATTCAAAAAATTCCGAAAGTTCAAATTAAAGCTGTAAAACAAAAATTTAAAACTTTGTGTATAATTATTTTTTAAATTTTGACGTAAGGAAGCTTCAAAATTTACTTTAATTGTCACCGAAATGCAGAATTTCTCTAAAAACTAACTTTGTATTCGAGAATATTGAGAATTTAAATTAAGCAATAAATTAAAAAGAGCAAATTTTGTACATAATAAACAACCTTATTTATAGTATAATTAATTATTAAATTAGAAATAAGGAAAGTCAAAATTTAGTTTAATTTTCGCCGAAATGCTAAATTTCTCTAAGAACTATTTATGTGCATATTTCGAAGATGCAGGAAGTTCAAATTAACCATTAAATTAAAAGTGGAGACTTTGTGGATAATTAATAATTAATTACTAAATTTTGAATTAATGAAGAGTCAATTTTTTTTTAATTTTCACAGAAATGCTGAATTTCCCTAAGAACTATTTTTGTGCAGATTTCGAAGAGGCTGACAGTTCAAATTAATCATTAAATTAAAAGTGGAAAACTTGATGTACAATTATAATTAATTACTAAATTTTGAAGGAAAGTAGCGTCAAAATTTACTTTAATTTTCACCAAAATCAGGAATTTCTCTAATATCTAACTTTATACATACTTCGAAAATTCTGAAAGTTCAAATTAAAGCTGTAAAACAAAAACTTGAAGCTTCGTGTATAATTAATTTTTAAATTTTCACTTAAGGAAGCATCAAAATCTACTTTAATTGTCACTGAAATGCTGAATTTCTCCAAACACTAACTTTGTATTCGAGAATATTGAGAATTTAAATCAAGCAATAAATCGAAAATAGCAAATTTTGTGTATAATAAACAATTTTGTTTATAGTATAATTAATTACTAATTAATGCTAAATTTCACTAAGAACTATTTGTATGCATATTTCCAAGATGCGGGAAGTTCAAATTAACCATTAAATTAAAAGTGGAAAACTTTGTGGATAATTAATAATTAATTACCAAATTTTGAACTAATGAAAAGTCAAAATTTACTTTAATTTTCACCGAAATGCTGAATTTCTCTGAAAATTAACTTTGAAATTGAGAATACTGAGAAATTAAGCAATTAATCAAAAACGTCAAATTTTGTGTGTAATTGATAATTAATAATTAAATTTTGAACAAATGAACAGTCGAAATTTACTTTAATTTTCACCAAATTGTGAAATTTCTATAAAAATTAACTTTGTATATACTACAAAAATGATGAGAGTCCAAATGAAAGCAACAAAGCATAAATAAAAAACTTTGTTTATAGTATAATTAATTACTAAATTAGAAATAACAACGGTCAAAATTTACTTTAATTTTCGCCGAAATACCGAATTTCCCTAAGAATTTATTTTGTGCGTATTTCGGAGATGCTGACGGTTCAAATTAATCATTAAATTAAAAGTGGAAAACTTGATTTACAATAATTATAGTTAATTAATTACTAAATTTTGAACTAAAAAAGTGCTAAAATTTATTTTAATTTTCAACAAAATGCTGAATTTCTCGAAGATCTGAATTTGTACATATTTCTAGAATGCTGAAAGTTCAAATTATAGCAATAAAACAAAAATTGAAATCTTTGTGTATAATTAAATTTTAAATTTTGATGCAAGGAAGCGTTAAAATTTACTTTAATTTTCACTTATATGCTGAATTTCTCTAAAAACTAACATTGTATTCGAGGAAACTGACAGCATAAATTAAGCGACCGACCAAAAAGGGCCAATTTTGTGAATAATTAATAATTAATGATTAAATTTTGAACTAAAAAAGGGCCAAAATTTACTTTACTGAAATGCTGAATTTCTCTAAAAACTAACTTTATATTCGAGAATACTGAGAGTTCAAATTAAGTAATAAATCAAACACGTCAAATTTTGTGTATAAATAATAATTAATTATTAAATTTTGAACAAAGGAATAGCCAAAATTTATTTTAATTTTTACCGAAATGCCAAATTTCTCTAAGAATTAACCTTGTAGATACTACGAAAATGATGAGAGTCCAAGTGAAAGCAACAAAACACACATAAAAACGTTGTTTTAAAGTTTACTTAATTACTAAATTAAAAATAACGAAGTTCAAAATTTACTATAATTTTTGCCGAAATAGCGAATTTTCCTAAGAACTAATGGCGTGCATATTTCGAAGATGTTGACAGTTGAAATTAATCATTAAATTAAAAGTGGATAACTTGACTTACAATTATAGTTAATTAATTAATTACAAAATTTTGACCTAAGGAAACGTGAAAATTTATTTTAATTTTCACCTATATGCTGAATTTCTTTAAATTCTTTGTATTCGAGAATACTAAAAGCTTAAATGAAGCAGTCAACCAAAAAGGGCAAATTCGGTGGATAATTAATAATGAATTACTAAATTTTGAATTAAAGAAGTGTCACAATGTGCTTTAACTTTCACCAAAATACTGGTTTTCTCTGAAAATTAACTTTATGTTCGAGAATACTGAGTGCTTTAATTAAACAATAAATGAAACACGTAAAATTTTGTTTTTAATTAATAATTAATTATTAAATTTTGAACAAAGGAATAGCCAAAATTTACTTTAATTTTCATCGAAATGCCGAATTTCTCTAAGAATTAACCGTTTAAATACTACGAAAATGATGAGAGTCCAAGTGAAAGCAACAAAACACGCATAGAAACTTTGTTTGTAGAATAATTAATTACTAAATTAGAAATAACGAAGTTCAAATTTTACTATAATTTTTGCCGAAATAGCGAATTTTCCTAAGAATTAATGGCGTGCATATTTCGAAGATGTTGACAGTTGAAATTAATCATTAAATTAAAAGTGGATAACTTGATTTACAATTATAGTTAATTAATTAATTACAAAATTTTGACCTAAGGAAACGTCAAAATTTATTTTAATGTTCAACTATATGCTGAATTTCTTTAAATTCTTTGTATTCGAGAATACTAAAAGCTTAACCGAAGCAATCAACCAAAAACGGCAAATTCAGTGGATAATCAATAATTATTTACTAAATTTTGAATTAAAGAAGTGTCAAAATTTACTTTAATTTTCCCCGAAATGCTGAATTTCTCTGAAAATTAACTTTATATTCGAGAATACTGAGAGTTTAAATTAAACAATAAATCAAACACGTCAAATTTTGTGTATAATTAATAATTAATTATTAAATTTTGAACAACGGAATAGCCAAAATTTACTTTAATTTTCACCGAAAATGCCGAATTTCTCTAAGAATTAACCTTGTAAATACTAGGAAAATGATGAGAGTCCGAGTAAAAGCAACCAAACACACATAGAAACTTTGTTTATAAAATACTTAACTACTAAATTAGAAATAAGGAAGTTCAAGATTTACTTTAATTTTCGCCGAAATAGCGAATTTACCTAAGAACTAATTTTGAGCATTTTTCGAAGGTGCTGACAGTTCAAATTAAACATTGAATTGAAACTGAAAAACTTGATTTATAATTATAATTAATTAATTACTAAATTTTTAACTAAAGAAACGTGAAAATTTACTTTAATTTTCACCGAAATGCGGAATTTCTCTGAGATCTAAATTTGTACATATTTCTAAAATGTTGAAAGTTAAAAGCAATAAAGCAATAAAACAAAAATTAAAAACTTTGTGTATAATTAATTTTTAAATTTTGACCTAAGGAAGCGTCAAAATTTACTTTAATTTTCACCTATATGCTGAATTTCTCTAAAAACTAACTTTGCATTTGATAATACTGAAAGCTTAAATTAAGCAATCAACCAAAAACGGCAAATTTTGTGGACAATTAATAATTAATTACTAAATTTTGAAGTAAAGAAGCGTCAAAATTTGCTTTAATTTTCATGGAAATGCTGAATTTGTCTGAAAACTAACTTGTATTCGAGAATACTGAGGGTTGAAATTAAGTAATAAATCAAAAACGTCAAATTTTGTCTATAATTAATAATTAATTAATCAATTTTACTAACTATTATTAAATTACTAAATATATTCCACTTTATCATCAGAAAATTGTTTTAAAATTTTTGTACCGTAGGAATCCCCAAAAACGTAACTCTTTAAACTTGAACTGGAATTTTTAGAAGTCGTGAAAACCGTCTAAATAGAGACTCAAATCTGATTTTATTTTCAAAATTACCAATATTTTCTTTCCATAATGTATGTTATCTAAAACCCACAAATATTTAGCGTACAGAGAGAATTTCTCTTCTCAGAAATGAGACACAATAAATTAGATTGTCATGACGACAGCATCATGATACCTTACGTAAATTTACTTTATAGTCAGAATTGGTATCAAGGTGACAATTTGCATTATAATTGACACTAAACTAACAATTTTCAACTATAAGTCCTATTTTTAACTCTGCCACTTACTTTAGCGGAAACCATTTATCATATTTGTCACGACATTCTTGACAAATATTTTTGTGACAAAACCGTGCTAATAGAAATCAAATATGCGAACTCCAAAAGAGCTCCTATGTCCACTAAAACCATCTAATCAATCATTCCACACAAAACGTCAATTATCATCCCACAACACCGCGCTAATCAAATCAAAACACAATTTTTATATCAATTTATCCAAAACCATGCAACGATCTCTCCAACGTCACCATCTCACAACCACCCGCTAATCAAATAAAATTCGTTGTCACTCCGATTGACAAACCCATTTAACACCCACCCAACAAACAACTCTATGACGTACGTTTCAGGAAGTCCTTCCGGCCCGGAGCCGTCCGCAAAATCCGGCGCCGCGCCATCTTCAAGAACGGCGACTGCAACATCGCCCACTCCGGGGTCTCCCGCAGGGGTCTGCGTTACCTGCAGGACATCTTCACCACTCTGGTGGACATCCAGTGGCGATGGACCCTCATGATCTTCGCCCTCGCTTTCTTCGTGTCTTGGTTGGCTTTCGCCCTGATTTGGTGGCTGATCATGTTCACCCATGGTGACCTGGAAGACGAGCACTTACCCATGAACCAGGCCGAGTCGGGCTGGACCCCCTGCGTCCTGGGCATCCACAGCTTCACCTCGTGCTACCTCTTCAGTATCGAGACCCAGCACACCATCGGGTACGGGGTGCGCACCACCACGGAGGAGTGCCCCGAGGCCATTTTCATCATGTCGATGCAGAGCATCATCGGGATGATGATCCAGGCCTTCATGGTGGGGATCGTCTTCGCCAAGATGACGAGGCCGAAGCTGCGGACGCAGACGCTGCTGTTCTCGAGGAACGCGGTGATCTGCCAGAGGGAAGGGCATTTGTGTTTGATGTTCAGGGTTGGGGATTTGAGGAAGACGCACATCATTGGGGCGAGTGTGAGGGCGCAGCTGATTAGGTCCAGGAAGACGAAGGAAGGGGAGGTTATGACCAATTATCAGACGGAGTTGAGTGTGGCGGCGGATGGGTGCGATAATAATTTGTTCTTTATTTGGCCCATGACCATTGTGCATGTTATTGACGAAGAGTCGCCGCTGTACCATCTGTCGGCGAGTGATATGCTCCAGGATAGGTTCGAGGTGGTGGTGATTCTGGAGGGGACGGTGGAGAGCACGGGACAGACGACGCAGGCCAGGTCCAGCTATCTGGCTACGGAGGTTAGTACTTTTGACTTCCCTTTCCGTCTGTTTGTCTGTCGTCTGTATTAATTTTTATTAGACACATAATCTCCGAAATTGCTGGACCGATTGTTGGCAAATTTTGTAGTAGCATTTGCTAAGATAAGACTGATTTTGGCAAATGAGATATCCCCGAAGAATAGAGAGGGCGGGTGGGCGGGGCTAGTGCCTGCTAAGATAAAAGTGATTTTAGCCAATGACGTCTCGTCTAAGAAATTTAATTAAATTATTGTAAGAAAAGACACCAGAAAGAAGCTCCAAAGCATTTTCAAATTGTTTCCAAACAAAACCTCAATTGGTTAAAGTTTTTCAAAAAAAAAAACGGAGTCCCAAAATTAACTCAAAAACAGGTCAGGTCAGAATTTTCCTAAAATAGAACACCAAAGTCCCCCCAAGTTGTTTTAAGTACCTACTCGTAATTTACAAAAAAAAAAAAAAATCCATGGGCTCCCAAAATAATATATAAATACACCATGGATACCCAAGAGTCTCCCGAATTAAAAAAAAAAACATTGCGGTACTCAAGACTCTTTCAAATTTGTACAATATATAACACTAAAAGCTCAAAAAAGATTTTTTCAAGTGAATCTAGCAACAAAACACCAGGTTGAACGTAGGGTTTTGGAAACTTTGGCAATTTTTGATACGTCAAACATTTTTAACTTTTGAAAAACTTATCTAAAAATTCGGAAAAAATCAGGGATATAGATCCCGACGTGCTGGTTCTAAAAATATAACGTGTTTATCATAGCGGAGCAATATTTTCGAAATATTCCGAGTGAAATTCGAATTTTTAGTAATTTTTAAAAATTGCCATTTTTCAATAGGCGATTCTGGAAAAACGGTTGGAGTTATCCAAACAATGAGCCCGGGAGTGTCTTCTGCAGCCTGAGATCTATAAGAAAATGTGTTTAGTTGAATTTCGGAAATCGTCGAAAATGAATCGAAATTTGCATTCGGGAAAATTTCATTTTTGAAAAAGTCTAAAAATTTTCAATAAATTCAGTGTTATAGATCTTGACGTGCTCATTCCAAGAATATGTGTGTGTTTAGAGTCACGGAGCAATATTTTCGAAACAATCGGAGTGAAATTAAAATTTTTTGATATTTTTAAAAATTGCGATATTTCAATTCGCAAAATCAAATATCATAATATTTTCATTTTTCCTTCGATTTGAAATCTTCCATATCACAGTTTTTCTTTTTACTTTGCTTTAAGTCTTAGTTTCTACGGATTTTACAGTAAATAAAATAAGTCAATGAAATAGAAAAAAAGGCTTAATATTGTTCAGTCTAATCTTAGCAGTTATTAGACCCGCCCACCCGCCCTCTATTTTATTAGAAAGTTTATCATCTGCCAAATTAGTCTTAACTTGGCAAGTACTAGACCCGCCTACCCACCCTCTATTTTCTTAGGGGGTATGTCATCTGCCAAAATTAGTCTTATCTTAGCAAGTGCTAATAAAAAAAAATGAAAAATTGAAATACTGCAGTTCGAAAAATTGAAGAGTTTTTTTCCTTCGATTTAAAATATTCCATCTCACAGTTTTTCGTTTTTTCATTTTCAGTGTTTCAATTTATAGATATTGCAATTTTTCATTTTTCGATTTTTCAGTTTCTCACTTTTCATTTTATCGATTTTTCAATTTTTCGTTTCCCCAATTTTTCAGCTTCTTGAATTTTGTTTTTCATTTTTCCGATTTTTTAATTTTCATTTTCTCGATTTTATATCAGAATTTTTCCTTTTCACATTTCGTTTGAAATCGATAAATCCAAAAATCGACTTTTTAAAAATTAAAAACCCGTGAAATTCTTTCCTAAGAGCCAATAAGAATGAAAGATCAAAACGGAATAAGGGTCTCCATCGCATGTCAAAACAAATTTCAATTCCCGTTTTCTAGAGAGCCTTATAAGCCAGCAATGGCCCCGCCCATCTACCCCCTCTTCATTCCAGTGGCTACTAAACTCTTAATGAAATATAATTGAAAAACTGAAATATTTAAAAAAATATTAATATTATTACACATTTAAAACGAAAACTATAAAAACTGTAAAATAAAAATTCAAAAAAACTAAAAATTAGTAAAAATTAAATTTTATTAAAAAATGTAATCCTAGTATATCAACATTAAATCCAACTTCCGTTCTTCATAGACCAATAAGAATGAATGATCAAAACGAAGTATGGATGGGAGGGCGGGGCCACATTTTACTTAGCTGTAAATCTCAGTTTCTACGGATTTTACAATACATAAAATAAGTCAATGAAATTAGAAAAAAAGGCTTAATATTCTTCAGTCTAATTTTAGCAGTTACTATCAGTCCCCACCCGCCCTCTATTTTATTAGAAAGTTTATCATCTGCCAAAATTACTCTTAACTTGGCAAGTACTAGGCCCGCCTACCCACCCTCTATTTTCTTAGGGGGTATGCCATTTGCCAAAATTAGTCTTATCTCAGCATGTACTAGTATGTAAATCTTAGATTCTACCGCTTGTCAAAATAAAATTCAATTCCCATTTTACAGTAAATAAAAGAAATCAGTGAAATAGAGAAAAGAGGTGGTTCGAGCTGAATTTAGATTTTTTCTAAAGAGTGTCATAAGCAAGCAGCAGCCCCGCCCACCCACCCCTTCTTCATTCCAGTACACTACTCTCTATATTGTTTAGTTTTATCTTAGCAGGTACTAGCCCCGCCCACCCGCCCTCTAATTTCTTAGAATGTAAATAACTTGCCAAAATTAGTCTCATCTTACCACGTACTAGGCCCACCCACCCATCCTCTATCTTCTTAGATGGTATGTCATTGCTAAAATCAGTTTTATTGTTCAAAAGAAAAATGAAAAATAAAAAATTGAAAACTCGTGAAATTGCAAATCGAAAAATTGGAATATTGACACTAGAATACCTGTAACCTCAAGATTGCTTTAAAATTTTCAAATTCGTAAAAAATAAAACACTAAAAGCTCAAAACATTCTGTAAATTCCTGTAAATTTATTCGAAAATAAAACACCACGGGACCTAAAATTAACTGCGAACATTTTAAGCGTAGGCTTTTGAAAACTTTGACAATATTTGATACGTCAAACATTTTTAACTTTTGAGAAACTTATCTAAAAATTCTGAAAAATTTCAGGGATATAGGTCTCGACGTGCTGGTTCCAAAAATATAACGTGATTAGCTTAACCGAGCAATATTTTCGAAATATTCGGAGTGAAATTCGAATTTTTAGAAATTTTTAAAAATTGCCATTTTTATCGAAACAATGAGCCCGGAGTATCTTCTGCGGCCTGAAATCTACAAGAAAATGTGTTTAATTGAATTTCGGAAATCGTCGAAAATGAATCGAAATTTGCATTAGGCAAAATTTCATTTTTGAAAAAGTCGTCTGAAAAATTTTCAATAAATTCGGTGTAATAGATCTTGACGTGCTGATTCCTGAAATATAGCGTGTTTAGAGTCACGGAGCAATATTTTCGAAACATTCGGAGTGAAATTCGAATTTTTTGAAATTTGTAAAATTTGCCATTTTTCAATAGGCAATTCTGGAAAAACGGTCGGGTTTATCCAAACAATGAGCCCGGAAGAGTCTTTTGCGGCTTGAAATCTACAAGATGTGTTTAGTTAAATTTCGAAACTCGTCGAAAATGAATCGAAATTTGCATATGAGAAAATTTCATTTTGAAAAAGTCGTCTAAAAATTTTCAATGAATTCAGTATTATTGACTTTGACGTGCTGATTCCAAAAAATATAGTGTTTAGAGTCACAGAGCAATATTCTCGAACCATTCGGAGTAAAATCCTAATTTTTTGATATTTTTAAAAATTGCGATATTTCAGTGAGAGATTTTGGAGAAACGGGAGGAATTAAAAATAAAAATCGCAAAATCAATGTTTTCATCGATTTAAAATCTTCCATATCACAGATTTTCGTTTTTTCATTTTCAGTTTTTCAATCTATAGATACTACCATTTTTCATTTTTCGATTTTTCAGTGTCTCAGTTTTGAGTTTTTCGATTTTTCTATTTTTCAGCTTCTTGAATTTTGTTTTTCATTTTCCCGATTTTTTAATTTTCACTTTTTCGGTTTTATATCAGGATGTTTCATTTTCACATTTCCTTTGAAATTGATAAATCCAAAAGTCGATTTTTTAAAAATTGAAAACTCGTGAAATTCTTTCCTCAGAGCCAATAAGAATGAATGATCAAAACGGAATAAGGGTGGGTGGGAGGGTGTACAATAAAAAGTGCTCCCTCCCACCTCCATCGCATATCAAAATAGAGAGGTGGGTGGAGCTGAGTTTAGCTTTCTTCTACAGAGCCTTATAAGCAAGCAGTGGCCCCGCCCATCTACCCCCTCTTCATTCCAGTGACTACTCTTAATAAAATAAAATTGAAAAATTGAAATTTTTAAAAAATTATTATTATTATTACATATTTAAAATGAAAACTATAAAAATTGTAAATTAAAATTGAAAAATCTAAAAATTGATACATTTTTTCAAAAAAAAAAATTAATATTTATAAAAATTCAATTTTATTAAAAAAATGTAATCCTAAATTTATCAACATACGGATTTTACACTAAATAAAATAAGTCAATGAAATAGACAAAAAGGCTTAATATTGTTCAGTCTTCTCTTAGCAGTTACTAGCCCCGCCCACCCGCCTTCTATTTTATTAGAAAGTTTATTATCTGCCAAAATTAGCCTAAACTTGGCAAGTACTAGGCCCACTCACCCACCCTCTATTTTCTTAGGAGGTATGCCATTTGCCAAAATTAGTCTTATCTTAGCATGTACTAGGCCCGCCCACCCGCCCTCTATTTTTTTACGGATATGTCATTTGTTAAAATCTGTCTTATCTTAGCAAATGCTAATAAAAAAAATGAGAAATTGAAACACTGCTATTCGAAAAATTGAAGACGCCAAAAATTAAAAAATCGACAAATCGAGTAATTAAATACTGAGGACTCGTGAAATTAATTTTTTATTTTGCTTCAAGTCTTAAATTCCACCGCTTCTCAAAATAGATTTCAATTCCTATTTTAGAGTAAATAAAATAAGCAAGTGAAATAGGGAAAAAGTGTGGGCGAAGCTGAATTTAGCTCTTTTATAAAGACTCTTATAACTTATAAGCAAGCAATAGCCCCGCCCACCTACCTCTTCATTTCAGAGACTACTCTTAATATTGTTCAGTCTTACCTTAGCAAGTACTAGGCCCACCCACCCACCCTCTATTTTCTTGGAGGGTATGTCATCTGCTAAAATGAGTCTTATCTCAACAAGTAGGTACTAATAAAACAATTAAAAATTGGAAAATTGCAATTCGAAAAATTGAAAAATCGAAAAATTGAATAATTAAAAATCGGAAATTCGTGACATTCTTTCTTCAGAGCCAGTAAGAACGTATGATCAAAACGAAACAAGGGTGGGAGGGGGGGGGGGGGGGGCACTTTTTACTTTGCTCTAAATCTAAAATTCCACCGCTTGTCAAAATGAAATTCAATTCCCATTTTACAGTAAATAAAATAAATCAATGAAATCGAGAAAAAATGTGGTTGGAGCTGAATTTAGCTTTTTCTAAAGGGTATTATAATCAAGCAGCAGCCCCGCCCACCCATTCCTTCTTCATTCCAGTATCTAATCTCTATATTGTTTAGTTTTATCTTAGCAAGCACTAGCCTCGCCCACCCGCTCTCTATTTTCTTAAAGGATATGTCATTTGCCAAAATTAGTCTTAAATTGCAATCCAAAAAATTTAAAAATTGAAAAATTAAATAATAAAAAACTGAAACCTGGTGAAATTCTTTCTACACAGCCAATAAGAATGAATGATCAAAATGGAATAGGGTTGAGTGGGAGAGGCCACTTTTTTCTGAAAAGTCTTATAAGCAAGCAGCAGCCCCGCCCACCCACCCACTCTTCATTCCAGTGACTACTCTTAATCAATATTAACAACACTGAACAATTTCAGTCTTACCTTAGAAAATACTAGCCCCGTCCAAGCAACCTCTATTTTCTTTGAGGTTATGTCATCTGCTAAAATCAGTCTTATCTTAACAAGTACTAATAAAATATGAAAAATTGAAAAATTGAAATTGGAAAAATTGAAGACGTAAAAAAATTGAAAAATCGAAAAATTGAATAATTAAAAATCGGAAACTCGCAAAATTCTTTCTTCAGACACAATAAGAATGAATGATCAAAACGAAACAAGGGTGGGTGGGCGTTATCACTTTTCACTCTGTTTTAAATCTTAGATTCTACCGCTTGTCAAAATAAAATTCAATTCCCATTTTACAGTAAATAAAAGAAATCAGTGAAAAAGAGAAAAGATATGGTTGGCGCTGAATTTAGCTTTTTTCTAAAGAGTGTTGTAAGTAAGCAGCAGCCCCGCCCACCCACCCCTTCTTCATTCCGGTAGACTACTCTCTATATTGTTTAGTTTTATCTTAGCAAGTACTAGCCCCGCCCACCCGCCCTCTATTTTCTTACAATGTATGGCACTTGCCAAAATTAGTCTTATCTTACCACGTACTAGGCCCGCCCACCCACCCTCTACCTTCTTAGAGGGTATGTGATTGCTAAAATCAGTTTTAGCTTACAAAAAAAAAAAAAAAAAATGAAATAAAAAATTGAAAACTCGTGAAATTGCAAATCGAAAAATTGGAATATTTGAAAAACTGAAAGATTTAAAATGAAAACTCAGAGTCACTTATCGTAAAATTGAAAAAGCAAAAAAGTAACATTTTAAGCAGCTTTTAACTACGCTTTTTTGAAAAAGACAAAGTTTCTCAGAACGAATTCAGGGAAAAATTTCCAAAAGATTACTCCTAAAACGAAAAAAGAAATTCCTATCGATTAGAAAATAACTAGAAAGCAATTTTTTTGTACCTACTTTCTCAAAAAAGGGAATTTTTTTGAACAATGGGGATAATGTTTAATTCATCACACATTTGAACCAAACCTATTATCTTAACAAATTTTGGCATTAATAATTATCCTGTTGTGTTTATTATTTAACTTTAGTAAATTTAAATTTAAAAAAATACGGTCTAACATTATCGCGGTGGCACATCATCTTGTCGAATCACAGTCTTGTAGGTTATTACGAAAAAGCAACTTCGTCAATTTTTTTTTGAAATAATAAATCTCAGCAATTGCACACCAGGTGTTTATAGAAAACACAGCTAAGATCTCGTTTCCGCACTCATCTGAATCGCTTTATTTATTTATTTTTCTATAATAATGATAATTATACCATGATTACTTCTGACAATATTACGTACGTTAAGTTACATAGACAACAAAACATTTGTGACAAATTGTTTTTGAACAACTTGCTCGTCTTGCAGATCCTCTGGGGCCACCGCTTCGAGCCCCTCGTCTCCTACAACAAAGACCGCCAGGGCTACGAAGTCAACTACTCGAAATTCGACAACACCTTCGCCGTAGACACCCCTCTATGCTCCGGTGCCGAACTAGCCGAATTTTACAAACTACAAGATGTACCTGGTAAATACCTAGCCTCGGCTCCACCCACCCCTAACCACTAACTCGTCTTTCCAGACTCTGGAGACAGCGATCCACTAACCATGGACAACATCCCAGTCTAGCTTTTGTGACGTTTTCTCTGTTTACTAACTGATTCAAGAGCATGTTTTGCAACCATTTGTACAAACGTCAGCTCGTGTGATATTCCATTGTATTTTGTACAGACCAAAAATAAATATTTAGGAGTAAGGAGGCGCTTTTGTGTTTGTAGAGGGCTCCAAGCCGCCGGGGAAGCGGCTGGAGGAAAGGGTTTTGCGGCCGCCCCCGATTTTGAGGGACAGGAACCACAACCACCAGCCGGCTAGGACCAATTACTCGTATCAGGGATACGACGAAGACGACCTGCTCGAAGTGAATTCGAGCTATGTGTAATTGTTTAGCGGCGATTTGTTAACTTGTTGTTGACATAAGTTATACTAAGTTGCTGTTTTTCTCGCGGTTTGTGCTCGGATGAATTTATTATTTAATTATCGTGTTTGCGAAATTCGGTTCGTAGTGTTTGTCTTCACATGTGGCAGTCGGTTAAAAATTAAAATTGTCAATGCATTCTGTGAGCAAATAAGCTGTGGAAGGTACAGTTTATGACATGAGGAGAAAATTTCCTGTAGAAGTTACATTTGTGATAAATAAAATAAATTAAATGGTTTGTTATTCAGTTTTGCCTTCGAACTCTATGAAATAATGTAATGTGTTTGGCAAAAAACAAATTTTATTAATTTTTCGTATTTTTGTTAAATTTGATCTGAATTTTGAAATTAAATATGGCATTTATAAAATCAGTTACCAGGGACATTTCGTTATCTTAAGGTGGTATGATTATAAAATATCGTACTAAATCAAGTCGGCTTTGTGAAATCAGTCCCAGCATTTTTAATAACGATTTGCCGCTTCCATAAGATTATGTAAAAACTTATCGTGTCACCTGAATTATTGGTTGCCTATCTACATGCTAGAAAAGCTAAAAAAAGTTGGGTTATGATTGTCATTTGTGACAGGTCACCAGAAATATTCACCAATCATCACAACGCAACAATTTACGACATTTCAAAGCACACTTTTGTGATTATATTGTTTTAGAAAAATTCGATGAAAAAATAAATTAAACACAGTAAAAACAATTCGTGTGTAATTTTACTAATTTCACATCTGAAAGTTTTAACAGTTTGTGGTGAAATTAATAAAAATAAAGTAGATTTTAGAAGCTCCATGAAGGAAGAAGGCAAAAACAATATAAAAGAATTGCGGTTAAAAAATAAAATATTGAAAAATGTTGATTACTACAAAAATTTACCATTTTAGACATGTTTTAAGTTTCTTGTTGTCGAAATAAGTCTACACATACTAGGAAAACAAGGCAAAATGTATCCCCACCCACCCGCCCTGTCTCAATTGTAATGATTTTTTTTATTCGTCGTGAGCCCAGGGGGCGGAGCTTAACTGCAAAATCCTTATTCTTCTACGACAAATTAAAAACACATTTTTGAGTATCGTGTTGTTCAAAGAATACGATTTACGTTAAAACAAAAATAAAGCCGAAGATTAGGCCCCACCCATACACGCCCCGATCTCAATTCTCAGTTGTGATGAATTTTCCATTCGTTGTCAGATCGAGGGGCGGGGCTTAATTGCAAGATCCATTGTCTACAAGAATTTACCATTTTAAACATGTTTTGAGTTTCTTGTTCTGAAAAGAGGACGAAGTATATTGAGAAAAAAGGCAAAATATAAGCCCCGCCCACCCGCCCTGTCTCATTTTTTTTAATCCTCGAGAGGGTGGGTGGGCGGGCTTATATTTTGATTGTTTGTTTTAATTGCAAAATCCATATTTTCTTGCAAAAATGTACTATTTTAGCTTCAATTTCGATTTCTGAATTTTCGATTTTTCGATATTCGATTTTTCAATGATTTGATTAATCGATTTTCACTTTCAGATTTTTCGAACATAGAATTTTCGATTTTTCGAGTTTTCGACTTTTCGATTTTTCCATTTCTATCTAGATTTCTCGAATCATTGATTTTTCGTTTTCCGATTTTTCCATTTTTTGGAATTTTCGAATTTTCAGATTTTCAAATTTCCATCTTTTCGGTTATTCGATTCGATTTTGGATTTTTCTTTTATCGATTTTTAGATTTTCTGAATTTCTAATTTTTTGATTTTCATTTCTTCGATTTTTTAATTTTAGAATTTTTATTTTTTCAATTTTCGGCTCCAAATTTCCGTTTTTCCAATTTTTTGAATTTCAATTTTCGGTTTTTTCATACTTCTAAGTTCAGTTTTTATGATTTTCGATTTTTCAAATATTTCACTTGTCGAATTTTCGATTTTTGGATTTTCGACGATTCGAATTTTGTATTTTCGGTTTCGCTCTCCTCTTTTTTGGAATTTTCGTATTTTATATATTTTTTAAATATTTTCCGTATTTGATTTTTACAATTTCCATGTTGTGTTTTTGGTTTTTCAAATTTTCGACTCTCCGATTTTTGTTTTTTCGATTTTAGATTTCTCGAATATTTGATTCTTCCATTTTTTGGAATTTTCGATTTTTCAAATTTTCAAATTTCCATCTTTTCGATTATTCGATTTTCGATTTTGTATTTTTCATTTATCAGTCTTTAGATTTTCTCATTTTCATTTCTTCGATTTTTCAATTCAAGGGTTTCGGCTCTCCGAATTTCCGCTTTTCAATTTTTTGACTTTCGATTTTTGGTTTTCCTATTTTTCGAAGTTCAGTTTTTTATTTTAGATTTTTCAAATATTTCACTTCTCGAATTTTCGATTTTCCGGTTTTTGATTTTCGATGATTCGAATTTTCTATTTCCGGTATTTTGGTTCTACGATTTTTCGAAATCCCTATTTTCGAGTTTTCGATTTTTTCATTTTCCGTTTTCGACCTTTCGATTTTTCAATTTTTGGTTTTGCAATCTTCCTTATTCGAATTTCTGATGTTTTATATATTTTTTAAATATTTTCCGTGTTTGATTTTTCGAAATTTCGAGTTCCGTGCTTTTGGTTTTTCGAATTTCCGAATCTTCTATTTGGGATTTTTGGAATGTTAAATTTTTAGAAGTTTGGATTTTTCCATTTTTCCAGTTTTTAGACTTTTTTAATTAAATGGAAACTATAAAAATTGAATTTTAACTTTTCGATTTTTCGGTATTTTGATTTTCGAATTTTTCGATTGTCGATCTTTCGATTTTTCCTTCTTTCAGCCTCGAGAATTTTTGGATTTTTCTATTTTTTCATTTTTCGATTTTTTGAGTTCTCGACTTTTAATTTCTTGCACATATTTTATTCTTCCAATTTCCGATTTAAGATTTCTCGAATTTCAAATTTTTCAGTTTTCCGATCTTTAGATTTTTCGCTTTTTCATTTTTCCAGTTTTTAGACTTTTTTTAGTTGAATGAAAAGTATAAAAATTGAATTTTAACTTCTCGATTTTTCGGTATTTTGATTTTCTAATTTTTCGATTGTCGATCTTTCGATTTTTCCTTCCTTCAGTCTCGAGAGTTTTCGATTTTTCTATTTTTTGTTTTTTCGGTTTTTTTAATTTTCGACTTTTACATTCTTGCACATATTTTATTCTTCCAATTTCCTATTTAAGATTTTTCGAATTTCAAATTTTTCAGTTTTCCGATATTTAGATTTTTCGCTTTTTGGATTTTTTTGTTTCGAATTCTGGATTTTCAGTTTTCCGTCCTGTTTATAGGCAGTTTTTCCGTTTTTGATTTTCTTATTTTTTGTTTTAGATTTTTCGATTTTCGAATTTTCGATTTTTCGATTTTCCAAATTTTCGTTTTTTCAATTTTCGATTTTTGATGATACAAATTTTTATTTTCGGTTTTTTGATTCATCGACTTTTCGATTTTTCGAATTCTGGATTTTCGGTTTTTCAACTTTAATTTTTCGAATTTTCGATTTTACAGTTTCTCCATTTTTCCATATTTCAATTTTTTGATTTTGAAATCCAAAAATTGCAAACCGAAAAACCGTAAACTTGCAAATTTTCAAAATAAGAATCGAAAAACTGAGATTTTGAAACCTTAAAAATTTGAAAAATCAAGACATTACATTTTGATTGTTTGTTTTAATTGCAAAATCCATATTTTCTTGCAAAAATGTACTATTTTAGCCTTGTTCTACGTTCCTTGTTGTGAAAAGGTGGCTATGTATATTAAGAAAAAAGGCAAAATGTAGCCCCACCCACCCGCCCGATCTCTATTGTAATAATTTTTTTTATTCGTCGTGAGCCAGGGGGGCGGAGCTTAACTGCAAAATCCTTATTATTACTCTACAAGAAATTACCAAGTGAAAAAGTCAAAAATAAAGCCCCACCCACACCTGCCCTGATCTAAATAGTAATAAAGTTTTTATTCGTTAGCAGACCTAAAGGAGGAGCCTAATTGCAAAACCCATATATCTTTACAAAAATTTATCATTAAACGTGTTTCAAGTTTCTAAGAATAAAAAAAAACATTACAGTTGAGACGGGGTGGGTGGGCGGGGTTTATATTATGCCGTTTTTTCTTAATATGTATAGTATTCTTTGAACAACACGATACTCAAAAATATATTTTTAATTTCTTGCAAAGAAACAAGTATTTTTCAGTTAAGCTTTGCCTCCTGGGTTCACGACGAATAAAAAATTCATCACAATTGAGATAGGGCGCGTGGGCGGGTTTACATTTTGTCTGTTTGTTTTAATTGCAAAATCCATATTTTCTTGCAAAAATGTACCATTTTAACTATGTTCTAAGTTTCTTGTTCTGAAAAGATGGCTGTGTATAGTAAGATAAAAAGGCAACTTACTTACCTTTTTACAGCACACTTGGGAAAAAACAAAAACTTTTGGCATTTTGTTTTCAAAGTTCACTTTTTTACATGCACGGTACTATCAGAATAATCAATTTAAAATCTCCGTATTTAAATTTATTAGATTATTACGTACTAAAGATTTCTATCGCCAGACAACTACTTCACAACTAAAAAAATTAGGACGTTTAAAATACACTTGACGAAGACCGCTAGAAGATAATCTAAGGATCTCGGAAAATTACTGATGTGTATTACGTCTAGTAAAAATATAACAAAAATAAAATTGAAAATATCAACAGTGGAAAACAACTCGATAAATACTAGCTCTAAATTATATGAAAGCTCTCAGGAACACACCGAAACCAGTGGTACTGCTAGAAGGTACCACTCAGAGCAATGTATAGATGACACAAGCGAGGACGAGAGACCCTTTGGGGGAAAAAGTTCCAAGTTCCAAGGGCTGCTGAATTTCCAAGTTTGATGAACTTCTCCCAATTAGTACTCCGCTGTGTTCTGCTGCTTACATAGATGAGTATAATTATATGCAACCAAGTCAGGTGAGTATTCCTGTCGTTTTTTTTTCCACATTTGTGTTTTGTAAATTCTAGTTCTCGGAGATCTGAGACTTCATCTAGATTTTACCTTGAGATAGAGCCTTGGGGATACCGCTATGGGAAAACTAAACAACAACGTTATCAATGTTGGTAGTTCCAGTGGCAATGAGAGTGACAGTGACCTCAAGAGGAACAAAACGTGTCTAAATCTCCAATTATGACAGTGTTTTATCTGATTTGTACTTCTAGATTTAATAATAAAGTGTATTTGTTTTCTAATCACGTGTAATGTGTTCTACCTACACCAAATGGAAAAATCGTCGTTCCGAATTTACCATTTCCGTTTCTTATCGGCTTCCACATCTATGATATCTAAAAGTCATGTTTAAAGAGCAGACAAATCAAAGTTCGCAAAAGAACGAAAAACACTCTCAATTATCAACTTATCTTTTGACAATGCACGTAGGCACTTGATTTGGTGTAATCAAGTTTCTTATCAAAAAAGTCAATTATACGTGTACGGAATGAAAAATTTTGAGAGAATAAACGTGTGCAGAAAAAAAAGATAGATATGAACCCAAGAGGAATTGCGTTCCTGGAGATGTCGTGATTAATGATTATAATATAATAAGTTGTTTGTTTCCTAGTGTTTAGAGCCTCTTTCATCACGTTAAAGTCATCCAGATAAATGTCAATTGTCTAAAACTAGATTTTTAGAAATGAAATTAGATTTCTTCATTCTGGTTTTTACAGGCTTAACGTAAACCAAATAACTTTAGCTGTGAATGTTTATTTTGTAACTACATTTGGTTTTAAAATATCGTAAGCATAATTTGCTTCAAATTCAACGTGCTAAAAAAAGGCGGGAAAAGGGAAGCAATTGAAAGACTTATTAGGAGAATGACTGAAGAAATGAATGAGGAAAAGAAGACACCAAGAACTGAATGAATGAATAATAAACTAAGAATGAACGTATGAACGAAGAATATGCGAACAATAAGTGAAGAATGAACATAGAATACTCGAGGAATGAACGAAGAATTAACGAATGAACGAAGGACGAAACTAACGAAATATGAAACGGATGAAGGATTGAAAAGGCAAACGATTGAAAGAATTAACGGAAGAAGGACTGAAGGAATGAACGATGAAAAGAAGACACCGAGAACTAAATTAACGAAGAATCAACGAAAATGAGCCAAAAATAAACGCAAATGAACAAATGAAAGGATCAACAAATGAAGGGATCAAAGAATGCACGAATAAAGGAATGAATGAAGATAGAATTAAGGAATCGATGAGGAAACGATGGAGCAAATCAAGAACTGAACGAAGAACAATCAAAGATTGAACGAAGCATGCAAGAAGAGTGTACAAATAATGAATGAAGAATTACTGAATGAACCATGAATTGAATGAACTAATGAAGGAATGAACAACGAAAAGAAGAAACAAATCAAGAACTGGCCGAATAAAGAATAACGAAAAATGAACAAAGAATGAGGGAAAAAGGAATGAAGAATGAACGTATAAACGAAGTGAAAGACGTACGAATGAACGAATGAAGGAATGAAAAGGGAAGCGATTGAAAGAATTAACGAGGAAAAGAAGAAACGAAGAACTAAATGAATGAAGAATAAACAAAGAGTGAACAAAAATGAGTGAAAAATAAACGAAAATGAATTAATGAAAGAATGAACAAATTGAGGAACCATAGAATGCACTGATAAAGGAATGGATGAATATATGAATCAAGGGATGAATGAGGAAAGGATAAAACAAATAAAGAACTGAACGAAGAATGATCAAAGATAAAACGAACCAGGAAAAAAGAGTGTACAAATAATGAACGAAAAATTACCGAATGAACGAATAGAAGAACAAACGACGGAACTAATGAACCATGATACGAATTAACAAGGAAAAAAAGAAACAAATAAAGAACGGACTGAATAAATGAAGAATAACGAAGAATGAATAAAGGATCAACGAAAAAGGAACAAAGAATGAACGTATGAACGAAGAATATGGGAAGAATGAACATAGAATACACAAGAATTAAACGAAGAATTAACGTATGAACAAAGGACGAAATCTGAAACGACTGAAGGAATGAACAAGGAAAAGAAGAAACCGAGAACTAAATTAATGAAGAATCAACTAAAAATGAACGAAAATAAGCCAAAAATAAATGCAAGTAAACTAATGAAAGGTTCAAAAAATTAAGGGATCAAAGAATGCACGAATAAAGGAATGAATGAAGATACTATTTAAGGAATTGATGGAGCAAATCAAGAACTGAACGAAGAATAATCAAAGATTGAACGAAGCATGCAAAAAGAGTGTATAAATAATTAATGAAGAATTACTGACTGAACCATGAATTGAATGAACTAATGAACAACGAAAAGAAGAAACAAATCAAGAACTGAGCGAATGAATGAAGAATAACGAAAAATGAACAACGAATGAAGGAAAAAAGGACGAAAAATGAACGTATAAACGAAATGAAAGACGAACGAATGAACGAATGAAGGAATGAAAAGGGAAGCGATTGGAAGAATTAATGAGGAAAAGAAGAAACGAAGAACTAAACGAATGAAGAATAAAATAAGAATGAACAAAAATGAGCGAGAAATAAACGAAAATGAACTAATAAAAAACCAAGGAATGCACGGATACAGGAATGGATTGTAGGTAAGAGAGAAAAATGTTGTGTCTCGGTGGGACTCGAACCCACGTCTCTATGCTTTCCGGGCAAGTATCTTAACTACTAGACCACGAAGCCACTTATCTTTCTCTGCTTACCGACGTGTTATTGTGCCACCACAGGATGAATATATGAATCAACGGATGAATGAGGAAACGATAAAGTAAATAAAGAACTGAACGAAGAATGATAAAAAATTAAACGAACCAGGAAAAAAGAGTGTACAAATAATGAACGAAAAATTACCGTATGAACGAATAGAAGAACGAACGACGCGACGGAACTAATAAACCATGATACGAATTAACAAGGAAAAGAAGAAACAAATAAAGAACTGACTGAATAAATGAAGAATAACGAAGAATGAATAAAGGATGAACGAAAAAGGAACAAAGAATGAACGTATGAACGAAGAATATGAGAAGAATGAACATAGAATACACGAGGAATGAACGAAGGACGAAACTAACGAAATCTGAAACGACTGAAGGATTGAAAAGGCATAGGATTGAAAGAATTAACGGAAGAACGACTGAAGGAATGAACGAGGAAAAGAAGAAACCGAGAACTAAATTAATGAAGAATCAACTAAAAATGAACGAAAATAAGCCAAAAATAAATGCAAGTAAACTAATGAAAGGTTCAACAAATTAAGGGATCAAATAATGCACGAATAAAGGAATGAATGAAGATACTATTTAAGGAATCGATGGAGCAAATCAAGAACTGAACGAAGAATAATCAAAGATTGAACGAAGCATGCAAAAAGTGTGTATAAATAATGAATGAAGAATTACTGAATGAACCATGAATTGAATGAACTAATGAACAACGAAAAGAAGAAACAAATCAAGAACTGGGCGAATGAATGAAGAATAACGAAAAATGAACAAGGAATGAAGGAAAAATGAACGAAGAATGAACGTATAAACGAAGTGAAAGACGAACGAATGAACGAATGAAGGAATGAAAAGGGAAGCGTTTGAAAGAATTAATGAGGAAAAGAAGAAACGAAGAACTAAATGAATGAAGAATAAAATAAGAATGAACAAAAATGAGCGAAAAATAAACGAAAATGAACTAATGAAAGAATGAACAAATGGAGGAACCAAAGAATGCACTGATAAAGGAATGGATGAATATATGAATCAAGGGATGAATGAGGAAACGATAAAACAAATAAAGAACTGAACGAAGAATGATCAAAGATTAAACGAACCAGGAAAAAAGAGTGTACAAATAATGAACGAAAAATTACCGAATGAACGAATAGAAGAACAAACGACGGAACTAATGAACCATGATACGAATTAACAAGGAAAAAAAGAAACAAATAAAGAACTGACTGACTAAATGAAGAATAACGAAGAATGAATAAAGTATGAACGAAAAAGGAACAAAGAATGAACGTATGAACGAAGAATATGGGAAAAATGAACATAGAATACACGAGGAATGAACGAAGAATTAACGAATGAACGAAGGACGAAACTAGCGAAATCTGAAACGACTGAAGGATTGAAAAGGCAAAGGATTGAAAGAATTAACGGCAGAACGACTGAAGAAATGAACGAGGAAAAGAAGAAACCGAAAACAAAATTAATGAAGAATCAACTAAAAATGAACGAAAATAAGCCAAAAATAAATGCAAATAAACTAATGAAAGGATCAACAAATGAAGGGATCAAAGAATGCACGAATAAAGGAATGACTGAAGATACGATTTAAGGAATCGATGAGGAAACGATGGAGCAAATCAAGAACTGAACGAAGAACAATCAAAGATTGAACGAAGCATGCAAGAAGAGTGTACAAATAATGAATGAAGAATTACTGAATGAACCATGAATTGAATGAACTAATGAAGGAATGAACAACGAAAAGAAGAAACAAATCAAGAACTGGCCGAAAAATTAACAAGGAATGAAGGAAAAAGGAACGATGAATCAACGTATAAACGAAGTGAAAGACGAACGAATGAACGAATGAAGGAATGAAAAGGGAAGCGATTGAAAGAATTAATGATGAAAAGAAAAAACGAAGAACTAAATGAATGAAGAATAAACTAAGAATGAACAAAAATGAGCGAAAATTAAACGAAAATGAACTAATGAAAGAATGAACAAATGGAGGAACCAAAAAATGCACGGATACATGAATGGATGAATATATGAATCAAGGGATGAATGAGAAACGATAAAACAAATAAAGAACTGAACGAAGAATGATCAAAAATTAAACGAACCAGGAAAAAAGAGTGTACAAATAATGAACGAAAAGTTACCGAATGAACGAATAGAAGAACGAACGACGGAACTAATGAACTATGATACAAATTAACAAGGAAAAGAAAAAACAAATAAAGAACTGACTGAATAAATAAAGAATAACGAAGAATGAATAAAGGATGAACGAAAAAGGAACAAAGAATGAACGTATGAACGAAGAATATGGGAAGAATGAACATAGACTACACGAGGATTGAACGAAAAATTAACGAATGAACGAAGGACGAAACTAACGAAATCTGAAACGACTGAAGGATTGAAAAGGCAAAGGATAGAAAGAATTAACGGAAGAACGACTGAAGAAATGAACGAGGAAAATAAGAAACCGAAAACTAAATTAATAAAGAATCAACTAAAAATGAACGAAAATAAGTTAAAAATAAATGCAAATAAACTAATGAAAGGATCAACAAATTAAGGGATCAAAGAATGCACGAATAAAGGAATGAATGAAGATACGATTTAAGGAATCGATGAGGAAACGATGGAGCAAATCAAGAACTGAACGAAGAATAATCAAAGATTGAACGAAGCATGCAAAAAGAGTGTACAAATAATGAATGAAGAATTACTGAATGAACCATGAATTGAATGAAGTAATGAAGGAATGAACAACGAAAAGAAGGAACAAATCAAGAACTGGCCGAAAAATGAACAAGGAATGAAGGAAAAAGGAACGATGAATCAACGTATAAACGAAGTGAAAGACGAACGAATGAACGAATGAAGGAATGAAAAGGGAAGCGATTGAAAGAATTAATGATGAAAAGAAGAAACGAAGAACTAAATGAATAAAGAATAAACTAAGAATGAACAAAAATGAGCGAAAATTAAACGAAAATGAACTAATGAAAGAATGAACAAATGAAGGAACCAAAGAATGCACGGATACAGGAATGGATGAATATATGAATCAAGGGATGAATGAGAAACGATAAAACAAATAAAGAACTGAACGAAGAATGATCAAAAATTAAACGAACCAGGAAAAAAGAGTGTACAAATAATGAACGAAAAGTTACCGAATGAACGAATAGAAGAACGAACGACGGAACTAATGAACTATGATACAAATTAACAAGGAAAAGAAAAAACAAATAAAGAACTGACTGAATAAATAACGAATAACGAAGAATGAATAAAAGATGAACGAAAAAGGAACAAAGAATGAACGTATGAACGGAGAATATGGGAAGAATGAACATAGACTACACGAGGATTGAACGAAAAATTATCGAATGAACGAAGGACGAAACTAACGAAATCTGAAACGACTGAAGGATTGAAAAGGCAAAGGATAGAAAGAATTAACGGAAGAACGACTGAAGAAATGAACGAGGAAAATAAGAAACCGAAAACTAAATTAATGAAGAATCAACTAAAAATGAACGAAAATAAGTTAAAAATAAATGCAAATAAACTAATGAAAGGATCAACAAATTAAGGGATCAAAGAATGCACGAATAAAGGAATGAATGAAGATACGATTTAAGGAATCGATGAGGAAACGATGAAGTAAATCAAGAACTGAACGAAGAATAATCAAAGATTGAACGAAGCATGCAAAAAGAGTGTACAAATAATGAATGAAGAATTACTGAATGAACCATGAATTGAATCAACTAATGAAGGAATGAACAACGAAAAGAAGAAACAAATCGAGAACTGGCCGAATGAAGAATAACGAAAAATGAACAAGGAATGCAGGAAAAAGGGACGAAGAATGAACGTATAAACGAAGTGAAAGACGAACGAATGAACGAATGAAGAAATGAAAAGGGAAGCGATTGAAAGAATTAACGAGGAAAAGAAGAAACGAAGAACTAAATGAATGAAGAATAAACAAAGAGTGAACAAAAATGAGTGAAAAATAAATGAAAATGAACTAATGAAAGAATGAACAGATGAAGGAACCAAAGAATGCACTGATAAAGGAATGGATGAATATATGAATCAAGAGATGAATGAGAAGACGATAAAACAAATAAAGAACTAAACGAAGAATGATCAAATATTGAACGAACCAGGAAAAGAGAGTGTACAAATAATGAACGAAGAATTACTGAATGAACCAACACAGGCACGAATGACGAAATTAACGAACCACGAAACGAATGAACGAATGAAGGAATAAACAAATAAAAGTACGAAGAAATAAGCGAATGAAGGAATGAACAAAGAAAAGGAGAAATAAATAAAGAACTCATCGAATGAATGAACAATAGCGAATAATGAACAAAGAATAAACGAAAAAGAACGAAGTATCAACAAAAATCAACGAAGAATGGACGAAGAATTAACGAATTGAACGAAGGACGAAACTATCGAAGTATGAAACGAAAGAACGAATGAAGGAATCAACAAATGAAGGGACGAAGAAATATGCGAACGAAGGAATGAAAAGGGAGGCGATTGAAAGAATCAACGGGCAAACGAGTGAAGGAATGAACGAGGAAAAGAAGAAAAAAAGGACTGAATGAATGAAGAATGAACAAAGAATGAACGACGGGACGGACGAACGAAAAAGTGAATAAAAAATAAACTACGAATAAACGAAAATGGGTGCTAAATTAATGAAAATAAACGAATAACGAACGAAGAATCAGTGATTAATAAACGAATAATGACGAATGAGTGAACAACGAATGAACGAAAAAAGGCTATAGAATGAACATATAAAAGAAGAAAGAAAGGAGAACGAATGAACTGAGTATTTAACGAATAGGAGAAAGAAGAATAAATGTAGAAGGAACAAAAAATGAAGCAAGAATGAACAAAGAATAAACGAAGAATGGACTAAGACTTAACGAATGAACGAAGGACGAAACTAACGAAATATAAAACCGTTGAACGAATGAAGGGATTAACAAATGAAAGAACGAAGGAATAAGCGAATGAAGGAATGAATAAGGAAAAGAAGAAACCAATAGCTGAACGAATGAAGAATAAACTAAGAATGCACGAAAATGAACTAATGAAAGAATGAACAAATTAAGCAACCAAATAGTGCAAGTAGAAAAACATGAATGAAGATATGAATCAAGGAATCAATGAGGAAACGATGAAACAAATAAAGAACTGAACGAAGAATGAAGAGAGAAGCATGAAAAAGAGTGTACAATGAATGCACAAAGAATTACTGAATGAAAGGATAGAAGAACCAATGAAGGAATGAACAAATAAAGGGCCCAAGAAATAAGCGAATGAAGGAATAAACAAGGGAAAGAAGAAATAAATAAAGAACTCATCGAATGAATGAAGAATAATGAAGAATGAACAAAGAATGCACGAAAAAGGAAAGAAGAATGAACGTATGAATGAAGTGGGAACGAATGAACGAAACTAACGATAAAGGAATCAACAAATAAAGGAAAATGTACGAAGAATGAACGAAGAAAGAAAGTATGAACGAATGAACGAAGAATCAACGAGTAAACGAATAGAGGAATGAACTAATAAATGAAGGAATCAACGAACGACGGCAAGAACAAACTAATGAAGGCGTAAACGAGGGAACTAATGAAAACATGAAGGAAGGAAACAAGGATTGAAAAAATAAACGAATGATGACAGAAAGGAATTAAAGAACGGCGGAAGGAATTTAGGAACGAAGGAATGTATAAACGAATAAACGGATAAACAAGCAAATGAATAATCGCTGGTACCTTCAAACAAGTCAAAAGTTGACTTCATATTAACCAAAATAAAAACGATAACCTGATGTTGATTTTTTTTTATTTTAGTTAAGCGAGCAATTTTTAACATATGGAGAGTATCTGATGAGACGTAGCCGACTAAAAAAATCACGGATAAAAATAGCGTAACCTGAGACTAATTTTCATCGTTTCATAATACTAATCTACCATTGGCCCACGTGTATCTATCTCATCCTTGATATCAAACTAAAAAGTCACGAATACTTCAAAAAGCACCCAAACTACAATAGAAACGAACAAACTTATCTCTCTCCTTTCAATTGGTTATCAGTGACAAACAATGAACTCGTAAGAATTTGTTATAAATAATTTAATTGTTAAAAAATCCTACCTACAGCCACTTAACTATCGATTACATATATATCAGTCTTAGAATCTCCTTCCGATGGGAAACCTACAAGCCAAAATTAATTTTCCACACCTCACAAAGTACCAAAACTTACGCTTCTCATCTTCAGCTTCATCATTCCATTTTTGGGTCTTCCCGGACGAAAACAATACATAGAACAAACCGCAGCCGGCGTAAATACCAGCCGCGGTCCTAAACACATTCCACCAGACATTCGTATCTTTCTAAAAAAAGACATTAGTTTGGGTTGATTCCGTGACAATTAGTACCTTATCGTCGCCGAAAAATCCCACAGAGAGCGGCCCCAAAATCGAGAAAATCGTCGAAAAGCAGTTGACTAGTCCCGTGATGGTACCAGCGTGATTCGGCGACAAATCGATCGGGTTGACCAAGTACCCGCACTGCGTCCAGGCGTTGGTACCCACAGCCACCACCAACAACCCAATCGCGAGTTCCTTCTGGGCGTTGTCGACGAACCCGAGCACTATGAGGGCAATCGCCGGGATGAACGACGCCAAGGAGTTGAAGATTTTGCGGGTGGTACCGATGGAAAGCACATTACTGGTGATGAGTTTATCGGCGATGGGTGCTCCGATAATCCCGGCAAGGAGCAGGGCGATGTATGGTAGTGCCGACAATTGGCTGTTCTAAGAACGCACTATATTATCAAAATTAAGGTGAAGAAGTCGTACCTCGTTGATGTTGAAGTGCATGATGTTGTCCATATAGCTGGGGATTTCGGTCATTAGTGTGAAAGAACCCCAGCTGGAGCCGCAACTCGCTATGAAAATCGCCCACATGGGTAGCGACGTGAACATGGACTTCCATGGCGTCGGTATTTTCTGGAATTATATAAATGTAGAAGCTTGTCGGGGTGCAATCAAGTGGTACCTTGGTACACGTCTTGAGGCACGTCGTACTCTCAATATACTTTTTCTCTTGTTCGGAGATCCATCTATGGGTGTCTGGCGAATTGGCGGCAAAAATGGTGAACACGCCGGTCCAGAGGAGCCCCAGGCCTCCGTAGAGGTAACACGCGACGGGCCAGCCCCAGGTGGAGCCCGCGATGGCTCCAGTCAGAGGCATGGAGGTGACGATTCCGACTGAAGCACCTCCATAGACGAAGGCCGAAACTCTCGACCGTTCGAAAGCGGGTGTCCATTTACTCACGATGTTGAGTATACAAGGGTACAGGAATCCCTGTGCTAGACCCTGGACGACCCGACAAAGCATTACTCCCCCGGACCCCCAACAAGACGCCATCACGGGTATGAGTATGTTGAAGAGGGAACCCAGAAGCATGGTGGCGACTAGGAACCACTTGGGTCCGAAGTACTCGCTGAGTTGGCCGGCGATGACTTGGGTGACGAGGTAGCCCCAGAAGAACGACGATAGTACCGTGTCGGTGTCTTTCCACTCGGGGTAGGTCTAAATAGACGGTATAATATGGGTGAGGTGGTGCAGTGGTACTTACTGGTATAGATGGATCTGGTGGGTGCTTGTCGATCATGGCGATGATGCCCACTGATAACGCGGTACGCATTCCGAAGAAAATCACCAGTGTGAAGGACATGAGGAAGAATTGGAAGTGTCGGACTCCAAACCAGCGTCCTGTGGAGTAGTACTTGGTTAGAAAAATTACTTTGGAGTAAGTTAGTTTTTACTTGGTTTGGGTACTTCTTCGTCTTCGTAGATGGGAAGCTTGATGTCAGACATTTTGACTAAGCGTTTTGGTTTCAGGTCAGCTAGAAAATACTTATTTTACTGAGACATCTTTCCTCCTTCTTTTAATATAAGTCATTGGAGATAGCATCTAATCGGCCAATCTAGAAATTAACATTATCAGAAAAAAGGTTTAGATTAATTGTCTTGAGGACAGTTCTGATTGGTGTCGCTTTACTAAACCTAAAGTGAGTACTTGAGGTTTTTGCATTTTAATTAGGCACTTAGAGGTGAGTTTTGTGTCTCCTTTTAGAGGCGTAGGGTAATTTTGTAAAGACTGGTGATTTAAATTGGTTAGACATGTCAGGAAATTAATAAATTTTGACAACAAACAATTAGATCAGTTTGAAATTTTGGGTCGGTTCGAACTACAAGGAAATGCCAATTATCGCCTGTTAATTATTCTGACGATTCCGATAAGCAGTTATTTCGATTAAAAATTTAATTAACTCACAAAATGGAAGTAATTACACTTGAACAAAACGTTAGTTAGTTAGAATTATTTCAACTGGGATTAGAAATGTGAGATTTAGGTTGTTTTAAGTGTAATAAAAATTGACATCATTTTCAAAGTCCAACGTTTGACAACAGATGCGAAAAACTAACAATAGCAATTTTGTAACATAGCATTAGAACTATTTACTTAGTATAAGAGTTTTTTCACATGAGTGGAATGCGACTTTGACGATAATATTATTGTTTCACTATCGTTCTATTTTAAAACTGTTTCTTTTTCTTTTTCTAGTTTTGTAATAAAGTTTATTCAGACGGAATCTAATCTTTAACAATTGCAAAAACAATATTGCGTTGACACTTATTGACTTGTGCTCAACGCATGTTCGATCTGAGTATTCTAAAAAACTGTACAATAAAAATTGCACACAAACTTTCGGTATCGCAGTTGTTTATCGCAGATTGTTTCAACAATTCTTTGCGTTTTTTCCGGCTTTATCAGTGTTTGTTTATGCATATACATTCCGCGCAAACATATCTATTATAATTAAGATCGACGTAAGTATTTCGAAAAGGTTTAAAGTGGATTTGTTTACTTGCCCTTTCAATTGACATTTTTTTTTAAAGAATAGAAAAATGAATGTATTTAAAAAAAATATTATTATTATTATTATTCGACGATTTTTTTTTGAGTTACTTATTAAATTTTGTACAAGAAATAAGATGAGATCTTTAATTTTATTCATTTTTTTGTCTTTATAGTAATAAAAAAGCGTTAAAAAATGACTCACCATTAAGTCCGTCTGAATTTGTCTTCGAAGCTATGTATTTAATTCAAGTTGCACACTCTTGTTACGCAACAAACTTACTGCTGCGTAGCAAGAATTCTCGAAGTAACCTAACGAATTTGTGTTTAAACAATGTTTCCGATAAAGCGGATCAACAAATATAAGTATTACGAATAAAAAAATTATGCTTCAGAAGGAAGTTGAGTCTAATAAATCGACAATTATGTGTTGAAGATTGAACTAGGCGATAAGATAAAGCGTGTATCCGGCATTCAAGACATTTCAGTCGGCTAGCTTGTGATGCTCTTCAAAAACACGTGTTGTTTGCAATTTTTGATAACAAAGGTTCGAAATTCTTGATGGAAGCGCGTAAGTACTTGACGAAAGTTTTAGAGTGTTGTTTTAGAGTCGTTCTTTTGTAGAAGTTTTGAATGGACGTACTTAAGGCAAAACGCATGTATGTCATGCGTGTTCTGAAAAAAGTGCGGTGCAATTTATGCTTCTGTGGGAAATTGGCAGGCAGGAACGCCTTGCTTTCATATCCGCCAACGATAACGTATTTAATTGTCGTTTTTCTTCGGAAAAATCTGAAGTTTTTGTTTATGTTGAATAGTTTAAAATTTGTTTTTTTTGAGAGATCCACTCCACCTTTTAAAATTCTGATACATTATATATAACACACCTGTGTTGTATTTGATATATGGTAGGTAGACAACCACTTATACTCTTTTTAGTTAGTACCAATACCACCAGTAGTAGTTTTCTGTATGATTTTATCGTTTAAATCATAATTTAAACAAAATAACGTATGCAACCAACAATACACTGCAATATATTTAAAGTATACACACTCACAAAGAGTCGGGTGAATTTTTGTTACAATTTACTTACTATCTACGTTGTTTCTGTTTCTCACGTGCTTCTAGATCTGTCTTTCTTCTTTTGATTTTTTTGATTTTTTTTTTGATTTTTTAATTTTACAATTTTGCACTAATATATCCAAATTCAAATTTGGAAAACTGAAAAATCGCGAAACTGAACACATGAAAATTGAAAAATTTAAATATGTGTGAAGAATTGAAAAATTCAAATTGAAAATCGAAAAATTGCAAACCGAAATATCGTAAACTTGAAAAATTTCAAAGTTTTATTAAGCATAGTGACATTGAAATATCAAAAATTGGAAAATCGGAAAATTAAAAAACTAAAAATTGTAGAATCGAACCATTGGGAACTCGAAAAATTACAATATTGAAACATTAAGACATTTAAAAATCAAAAATAGACAAAGTGAAAAACTGGATAAACGAAAAATTTTAAAATAGAAACATTTCATATCAAAGACTTGGAAAATCAAAAAATTGTAGGATTGGAACATTGAAAAATTGATAATCGAAAAACTGAATAAATAAAAAATTGACAACTTGAAATTTAAAAACTATGGAATTTTCGATTTTTCGAATTTTCTGTTTTCGATTTTTCGGAATCTCGATTTTCGAGTTTACGGTTTTTCAAATTTTCGGTTCTTAGTTTTCCGATTTATTTGGTTTTTGGATTTTTCGATTTTCCATTTTTCGATTTCTCCTTCCTACATTTTTAGAATTTTGACTTTTTTCTTTTCGGTGTTTCAATTTTTCGATTTTTCAATTTTAGATTTTTCGAATTTTCGATTCATCGGTTTTTCGATTCTTCAATTCTTCGATTTTTCTATTCATCGATTTTTCGGATTTTTCGATTTTTGATTTTCGATTTCTCCTCCCTTCATTTTTAGGCTTCTCAATTTTTTTACTTTTAGGTTTTTCGATATTTCGATTGTTCTATTTTTCAATTTTCCGAATGTTCGAATTTTTAGTTTTCGGTTTCTCGAATTTCCGAATCTTCGATTTTTCGAATATTTGATTCGTCGCATTTTCGATTGCTGGATTTCTCGATTTTCGGTTTTTCGATTTTCTTATTCTTCGATTTTTTGATTTCGATTTCTGGATTTTCGGTTTTTTTGTTTACCGATTCTTCAATTTTCCGAATTTTCGATTTTTTATTATTCGATTTTTCGATATTCGATTTTTTGTTATTCGATTTTTCGATATTCGATTTTTCGATTGTTTAATCAATCGAAATTTCGATTTTCGATTTTTTGAAGATCTAATTTTCGATTTTAGATTTCTCAAATAGATATAGATCTTCAATTTTTCCTTTTTCGGTTCATCGATTTGTAGAATTTTCAATTTTTTAAATTTTCGACTTTTCGATTTTGATTTTTGATTTTAAATAAATAAATAAATAATAATAAATAATAAAATAAAAATAATAAATAAATCTACTCCTATTTATTTTTTATTTATTCGTTTTTCAATTTTTTGAATTTTTGATTTTTGCTTTTCATTTATTCGATTTCTTATTTTTTGAATTTTTAATTTTTCAATTTTCGGCTCTTCGGATTTTCGTTTTTTCAATTTTTGACTTTGGATTTTCGATTTTTCGAACTTTGATTTTTCGGTGTTTCTATTTTTCGAAGTTCAGTTTTCTGATTGTCGATTTTTCAAACATTTCAGTAGTCGATTTTTCGATTTTCCGATTTTTTGATTTTCGATGATTCGAATTTTCTATTTTCGATTTTTTGGGTCTACGATTTTTCGAAATCTCGATTTTCGAGTTTCCGATGTTTCGATTTTTTGAATTTTCGATTTTTCGATCTTTCGATTTTTTAATTATTGGTTTTCCGTTCTTCCATATTCGAATTTTCGATATTTTATGTATTTTTTAAATATTTTCCATATTTGATTTTTCGAAATTTCGTTTTTCGTGTTTTTTTTGTTTTTCGAATTTTCGAATCTTCGATTTTTACTTTTCGGTTTGTGATTTTTGGAATGTTGTCAGTTTTAGATTTTTTTTATTTATTTAAATGTTAAATAATTTCTTTCATTTTTCAATTTTCGGCTCTCCGAATTTCCGTTTCTTCAATTTTTAGGCTTTTCAATTTTTCGATTTTTCTATTTTTCGATTTTTCTATTTTTCGAAGTTCAGTTTTTTGATTTTCGATTTTTCAACCATTTCACTTGTAAAATTTTTGATTTTCCGATTTTTTGATTTTTGATTATTCCAATTTCCTATTTTCGATTTTTTGGGTCTACGATATTTCGAAATCTCAATTTTCGAGTTTTCGAATTTTCGATTTTTTGAATTTTCAATTTTTCGGCCTTTCGATTTTTCAATTATTGGTTTTGCGATCTTCCATATTCGCATTTCCGACATTTTACATATTTTTTAAATATTTTTCGTATTCGATTTTTCGAAATTTCGATTTTCGTATTTTCGGTTTTTCGAATTTTCGAATCTCCGATTTTTGGTTTTTCGATTTTAGATTTCTCGAATATTTGATTCTTTGATTTTTCGAATCTTTGATTTTTCGTTTTTCGGTTTTTCGATTTTTTGAAATTTTCGATTTTTCAAATTTTCAAATTTCCGACTTCACGATATTTTCGATTTTGTATTTTTCATTTATCGATTTCTAGGTTTTTTGAATTTTTTGATTTTCATTTCTTTGATTTTTCAATTTTAGATTTTGAATTTTTTCAATTTTCGGCTCCGAATTTCCGTTTTTTCAATTTTTTGACTTTTGATTTTCGGTTTTTTCATTCTTCGAAGTTCAGTTTTTTTTGATTTACGATTTTTCAAATATTTCACTTGTCGAATTTTCGATTTTTCGTGAATTTTTTATTTTTGATTTTTTGGTTCTATGATTTTTCGAAATCCCGATTTGCGAGTTTTAGATTTTTCTATTTCTTGAATTTTCGCTTTTTCGAGATTTCGATTTCTTCATTTTTGGTTTTGCCCCCCTCCTTTTTGGAATTTTCGTATTTTATATATATTTTTTAAATATTTTCCGTATTTTAGATTTCTCGAATATTTGATTCTTCGAATATTTTAATCTTGATTTTTCGTTTTTCGATTTTTCATTTTTTGGAATTTTCGATTTTTCATATTTTCAAATTTCTATCTTATCCATTATTCGATTTTCGATTTTGTATTTTTCATTTATCAGTTTTTAGATTTTTT